GTTCCTTTGAATACTTTTTAGCTGAGAATGAGATGTTTTAAGTTGGACTCCCTCATATATCAATGTTTTAATTGAAATTTTATTGTAAGTGCATATTTGGCTTTTATGTGTGTGTCTTTGTACGTATGTAATGATGTGATGTAATTTTGATGCCTATCTTGGCCAGGTCTCCCTTGCAAAAGAGATTTTTAATCTCAATGGGTATTACCTGGTTAAATAAAGGATAAATAAAAATAAATAAATAAAAAATAAATAAAAAGGTGTCCAATCATGTCCCTGCTGTGGACACCGAGTTATCAGAGGTTCTGGTTCCTGGATCAGCTTCCTACTATAAACCCGAAAATCTTTTCTGACCTGGCCGTGCTTTGGTGGTGCAGCGGTTAGCGACCCATGTACAGAGACCTTCGTCCTCGAGGCGGTGGACCCGGGTTTGAATCCGACCTGCGGCCCTTTGCTGCATGTCTCTCGATCTCATACCTCTTTCCTGTCAGCCTACAGTTGATGAATGGAGCTGTTAGGTTTATGCTTTATGCATCATGTGAATTGTTACTTTGTTAGCCAGATTAGAGAGTAGAAGGCCTTCCTTCACATGGTGGATGTCACTGTGTGTACGGAGGTCATCTAATCAGGACAGCCTTCGTGTCTTTTTAAGATACACAGGATATGGGAACATCTTGGAGCCGGACTGATAGAGGAGAGCTATCTGTAACCCTGAAGCATAGAGGTAAGATGAATACAGGTCAGGGCATCGATGGCGTGTCAGTTTGTGATACGGACAGCTGAGCATCCACCTGATGCAACACATAGACTCATGAGCTATAAGAAGCAGGAGATGACCTTCATCGGGGCTCAACCTTTGCCGGACGCTCGCGGACGTGATGTTTGAGCCCACAGCTGTGCAGCTCTAAGCATTTTCTCTGTCCTGTAACGACTTGATCTGGAATAAACTCTGTTACTTTTTACTCCTGTTTTTATAGTCCTTTTTACATGTTATTACCCTGTTTGAGTTAAGAGTAGTAAATAACTTGCTCCCAGGAAAAGAACCGGTGGGGAAGCCCAAAGGCGCAACATAACTTCCTTATTTAACAAGAGACACTAGTGGCGTAAAAACTCAACAATTCTGATTGAGAGTTTTCATTAACCTATTAAAACTGTAGCATCATTTCTGTCCTTGAAGGTTTTAGTGAAAAATGTTTCTGGTTTGTTTTATCTCGTCGTACGGCGCTTTGGTTTGATATTTGCCTTAAATATGACTTAATTTTAACATATTGGGCATATTTTCTGTCATATAAGAACAATCAGGAATTTATGAATCTACATCCAAACTACCAGGAATTAAATTCTTCATGAGGCCTTAAACTTCTTTCCAGAATCTCACTGAAAACAATTTTGCTGACATTTATTGAAAAAAAACCCAGAGAAAATGAAAACAGCAAAAACATCCCATCATTTAATTGACTTGTAAATCTGACAGAGAAACGATGAACCTTAATAAAACAGAAACTCTGACTTCTTAGAATGGAATAAAAACTCGTTTGGACTGAACATTATTCTAGGTTCCTGTTTTTTATTTCTCAGTTATATAATTATATTAAAATCATTAAACTGATGAAAGCCGATAAAAGCCTCCATCTGTCTGCAGAGCAACAATAAAACAGGACCTGATCAATATAAGTGAT